ACTGCACAAACCCATATAAAGTAGTGTTTCTCAACCTTCCTAATGCCGCAATCCCTTACTATCATTCCTCATGTTGTGGTGACCCCCAACCATAAAATTATTTTCATTGCTACTTCATAAGTGTAATTTTACTACTGTTATGATTCATAATGTAAATATCTGATGTGCAGGATGTATTTTCATTCACTGATCCAAATTTGTCACAAATACCCGACATGCCCAAACTTGAATACTGGTGAGGTTGGGGGCGGGGATTGATTTTGTAATTTGGGAGTTGTAGTTGCTGAGATTTATAGTAAACCTACAATCGGATAGCATTCTGAACTCCTCCAACGATGGAATTGAACCAATCTTGGGACACAGAACTCCAATGATCAACAAAAAATACTGAAAGGTTTGGTGGGCATTGACCTTGAGTTTTGGAGTTGTAGTTCACCTACATCCAGAGAGCACTGTGGACTCAAACAATGATGGATCTGGACCAAACTTGGCACAAATACCCAATATGCCCAAATGTGGACTTTAGAAAATAGACCTTGACATTTGGGAGTTGTAGTTTGCTGGGATTTATAGTTCACGTACAATCAAATAGCATTCTGAACTCCACCAACGATGGAATTGAACCAAACTTGGCACACAGAACTCCCATAACCAACAGAAAATACTGGATTTGGTGGGCATTGACCTTGAGTTTTGGAGTTGTAGTTCACCTACATCCAGAGAGCACTGTGGACTCAAACAATGATGGATCTGGATCAAACTTGGCACAAATACTCAATATGCCCAAATGTAGACTTTAGGGAAAATAGACCTTGACATTTGGGAGTTGTAGTTTGCTGGGATTTATAGTTCACGTACAATCAAATAGCATTCTGAACTCCTCCAACGATGGAATTTAACCAATCTTGGGACACAGAACTCCCATGGAAGGGTTTGGTGGGCATTGACCTTGCGTTTTGGAGTTGTAGTTCACCTACATCCAGAGCGCACCAACGATAGAATTAGGCCCTTCCTTCACAGAACCCCCAGGACTAGCAGAAAATACTGTGTTTTCTGTTGGTCTTTGGTGACCCCTCTGACACACCTTCATGACCCCCCCCCCTTTGAAACATGCATTTTCTGAGCCCCCTCAGTTTCCACTGGAATATGTTGCTTCAATGGGTTGCCAATCTTTGGCAGTTGGTGTGCGAGATCATGTGGGGGTCCTGGATTGTGGCAAACCCCATAAAGGACGGGGGCACATCCCATTACATGGACCACATGGTGCAGTCACATACTTCTCTGGCATCACATCATGGCAGTGAGAGCAGAGCATTCACAAAACAAGAAGGCCCTTTTGAGGTCACTAGAGGAAACATGCAGTGAGGAAGCGAGACGGTATCTAGGCTGGCCTTGAATGATGTGAGTAAGGAGGGCTAATTAGTTATTGATTGAGCCGCAGCTCATTCATTTCACCTCTGCCTGGGTGGTTTAATTCAAGCCCAAATGTGTGTTCCGAGTTAGAGAGTTTTGTATGTGTTGATTAGGACTGAGCATAAAAGCTTTTTTTAAAAGTGTTCGTGGTGAAGATGAAGCTGATACTAAAGAGAAGAACCAGCTGAGACAACATAATTGGATGTTTTATAGAACGCTATAAAATTGCAGCTGTGCCATCTAAATTATACTACTGACAAAAGAACAAACAAAATTCACTGCCTAATAAATAACTGATTTTTTTTAACAGGAACCTTGTTTAGATGGCAGTATCTCCCTCCCTCTCTCCCCATCCAAATTAGCCATACAACTGTTTCACCTTTATTGTTTTCCCTTATTTCCTCCAGTGCAGCATTGAATGAATGGTTAACATTTTAAAGCAAAGATTGATGTATAAGAGCACTAGGCACACAGATAGCGTTGTAGAACTGGATTGTGGAGCGAGTGTCAACATCAAATTTGTGCTAGGAAAGGAATATCTAGAATTGTGAGATGTGTTAAAGCAAAATGGGCAATAATCTCAGGGCTGGGGGCTGTATTTTAGGCTGAGACCTACCCTTTAGTTTTTAAACAGGGTTTTAGTTTTAAAACTACCTATATGTATATTCATATACGCAAAATCAGAGCCTGCATGGTATAGTAGGGCAAGTGTTAGATCAAGACTCTGGGAAGCCAGATTTCGAATATCCACTGTGCTGTGGATATTTATTTCTGGTTTTGGGCAAGTTACTCTCTAAATCAAGAAGCAGTGACAAAGTAAATCCTAGAATAGAGTTTACATAATTCATTGTCTACATAGTGGTTCCCAACCTTTTTTTGTCCATAGACCACTTTGACCAGGGATCACTCTCCAACATTAGTACCATAAGGGTTACTAATCAGTTTTTGATCAACTTTAGATTCGGTTTGGTTATTTGGGGTGCTGATTCAGAAAACTGTATTGGATAGACCACATCAGCTCTAGTTTCTGATACAGAACAAATGCCACCCAGAAGTTGCCATCTTCTCGCCCACAAAAAACCATATTTAATAATCTTGAGCTGATGCAGTAGTAGTAATCTTTTGTGGGTAGTTAGCCTCTCCCCTCCCGACATGTCCATTGCCTCGGCTCTATAAGAGGCCAGGCACTCTTGTTGCCACATGGTTTCAAGGCAACAGTGTAGTAATGGTGAGGCCATGGACCATATTTTTATTCTTGCAGACCACTGGTGGTTCATGGACCACAGGTTGGTAACCACTGATCTACGTGAACACACATAACAAGAAAAGCAAAATAAACTGAAATTGTTACATTGTTCAAGTTATTTTTGACTTAGGTAAAGGTAAAGGTTTCCCCCTGACATGAAGTCTAGTAGATGCATTATCGGTGGGGGTCAATGTGCTCTCTGGCTGTAGGGTAAACTACAACTCCCACTGTGGTGAGTCAGTCGCCTCAAACCCATCCAGTAGGTTGAGTTAGTCATGGGGGTTCTATGTACCAAGTTTGGCCCAGGTTCATCATCAGCGGAGGTCACGGTTTCTCTGATTGTGGGTGAACTACAACTCCCAGAAAGGAAGGTCAGCCTCCCCCAAGCCCTCCAGTAATCAAATATTGGCATATCAGGAATGTATGCCAAGTTTGGTTCAGATCCATCAGTGTTTGGATTCAGGGTGCTCTCTGGATGTAGGTGAACTACAACTTTTTAAAATCCCTCCAAAGACCTCCATGATTTTTTGTTGGTCATGGAGGTTCTGAGTGCCAAGTTAGTTCCAGGTCCATTGTTGGTGGAGTTCAGAGTACTTTTAAATTGCAGAGAAACGGTGTATTCAAGTACCTACAACTCCTATAAATCATGATGAATTCTCCCCAAATGTCTCTAGTATGTTCAGTTGCTGATCAATTCCTCTGCTGTGTGCCATAGAAAAATATAGGAAAGGGAGAGTGGGCGGGATCATTGAAATTCCACACTAATGGAGAGAGTAAGAAACACTGGGGTGTCTGTGGTGGAGGAGAAACAGAAAATCTAGGATGAAATTGTTCCCATATGAAAGGCTTCACTTGGGTGGTGGGCAGTATTGTGTTTGTGGAGGGCATTGGGAGGGCTCTTGGACATGTTCCTGGTGCTCACTATAACCTGTAATGTCATTGAATGTCATTGATGTCTACTGAGAAGTGGGAGCTTCTCAGTAGGAGTTTGTGGAAGCAGGAGCTTGTCAGTGTAAGTGGACACCTAGCCACACATACATATTTGCACTTTTATTATGTGTATAGATAAGCATTCCATATTGCTTTTTTTCCCTGTATTTACTCCAGCTCGGGCACACTATTCCTTAAGAATTTCTGTTTGCCTGCCTAGGCACTTGTTTTCTGTGTTACCTTTTGAAAGGTATTGATCATATGAAAGCACCAACTCTTTTCTTTATAGAAGCTCCCTAGTCTTGCCAGGGGTGACTGGACAGAAAGCTGTGTATAATAGTTGTATTGTCGAAGGCTTTCATGGCTGGAATCACTGGGTTGTTGTAGGTTTTTGGAGCTATATGGCCATGTTCTAGAGGCATTCTCTCCTGACGTGCCGCCTGCATCTATGGCAGTGGTTCTCAACCTAGGTTCCCCAGATGTTTTTGGCCTACAACTCCCAGAAGTCCCAGCTAGTTTACCAGCTGTTAGGATTTCTGGGAGTTGTAGGCCAAAAACATCTGGGGACCCCAGGTTGAGAACCACTGATCTATGGCAAGCATTCTCTGAGGATGCTGGCCATAGATGCAGGCGAAACGTCAGGAGAGAATGCCTCTAGAACATGGCCATATAGCCTGAAAAAAACTACAACAACCTATAGCATAGTTGTTTACAATCTAGCTTACACCACAGTAAAACTAATTTGTTTTGTAACTCCAAAGACTTCCCATTGATTTGTTAGCATTAGTCTTTTTGCATACTCTTTTTAAAAAAGTAACATCTTGATTTACACTGTTATTTCACCATTACTTTTGTTAAAAATGGAAAAAAAATCATCCCGGTTCCTTTAAAAGGATCTTTGAAAATAATTAGGAAAGTGTACTTTCCTAATTTAGATCCACAATTTTCAGAGATTGTGGATTATTGTGTCCCATTTTAGAAAAAGGAAGCAGCATGAATGAGAGAGGTGTGAGTCTTCACATTATTGTCATTTAATAATATGGGGCATGATAGTCTTCAGATATGATCTGCAACGTTCATATCTCAGAACTTAATGCCTGCAGTTATGTGTACAAGGCAGTGTAAGTACATGTACTTATTATTATTTGACTCAAATTGTCATGCCACTTTTGAAATGCGACTTCATAATGCCTTTGTTGTCACAAGAGTGACACATTACTTTAACCACTGCTTGTAACATGTTACTTTCAAATTCTGGCCCACAGGACTGGTTGAGTTGGGTGTGTGTCATTGCAACGCATTGGCAAAATCATTATAACCTTTTGGAAGTCCTTGTCTTGGAAACCTGTGAATGTTTTGAGCTTTCCATTCTACCCTATGGTGAACATTCATTCCTTTTTTCCCCTCTTAGATGTTCGACTGGATCACACACAACAAAGGCCTGTTTTTGAACAGCTACACAGAGATTGGAGCCAGTCATCCTCATGCCATGGAGCTTCAGACACAGCACAATCATTTCGCTATGAACTGTATGGTAAGAATCTTTGGAACTTACAAAAACATTTAGTAATTGGCACATGCCGTGTCCTTTACGGTGCAGGAATAATATGCTGTTGTGAACGAGTGTGTTGCTGCCTTCCATATATAACAAAGTGAAAAGCAAATAGTAGAATCTAATCTAAATAAATAAGAGAAGAACAATGTCTGGGAAGTGAGTTCAATGCTACACCAGGATTTCTAGCAGGACTCCAAATAAATAAAAAAACACTGTTGCTGTTATTAACGTAGGATTTCAGTATGCAAACTGATTGGGTTTCTGTATGCATGCCTTTTTACATGCTACAAGAAAGCACATCCTTACTGAGATGGTAGCTCTTTCAAAAACTTAGTTTTTTCAACTACACGTAGCTTTGGTGGCTAAGTATTCTGAGAATGATTTCCTCCAACTAACTGTTTCTGAGTTCTGCCACTGCCAAAAGATTTATAATCTGCCCTTCAAGAGAAGAAGATAATAGAGGGAAGTGAGGGTAAACCAGGAAAGGAGTACGTGTCCCATTTCTTTTGCAGGCTTAGTTACGGTACTGCGTGGGGACTAGGGAATTGTGCCAAAGGCTAATGAGTCAGTCTTGTGACCTCTATGCAGTCTAACATATATGGACTGCTTCCAAGTTCAGCAGGAGTTGGAGGCCTCATTCCTATGTGTGTCTTTGGCACCAGGGTTGTGAATTGCTGGGCAAAAACAAAGCACAAATGGAAATCCATAAGTTTTCTGAAACAATTTAGTTTATATAAACATCTGCTCAGACATGTTTTCCATGTGTGCATGGAATAATAATAATAATAATAATAATAATAATAATAATAATAAATGGGAAGTGTCTGACGTGTGATTCAATACAACAGCCAGCAGAGTGATCTTGTGTGCTGCAGACTCATCTTGTTGTGTTTCAAATAATAATAATAATAATAATAATAATAATAATAATAATAATAATAAATACTGTGGGACTTTCGAATCCAAACTGCCGTGCCAAAAGATCTCAGCCGGCATTTGGAAACAATAAACATTGGCAAAATTACGATCTGTCAACTACAAAAGGCCACCTTACTTAGATGTGCACGCATCATTTGAAAATACATCACACAGTCCTAGACGCTTGTATTTGACTTGTGTTATTGTGATATGAAATCCAGCATATAGATCTCATTTGCTGTGACATACTGTGTTTTTGTGTCAATAAATAACAACAACAACAACAACAACAACAACAGTAAACATCGACAAAATCATGATCTGTCAACTGCAAAAGGCCATCTTACTTGGATCTGCGTGCATCGTTCGAAAATACATCACACAGTCCTAGACGCTTGGGAAGTGTTCGACTTGTGATTTTGTGATAAGAAATCCAGCATATAGATCTCGTTTGCTGTGACATACTGTACTTTTGAGTGAATAATAATAATAATAATAATAATAATAATAATAAACATTGTTATTTATATCCCCCTCCCCCCCTCTTCAAACAGGACTTGAGTCAGCTTACAAAAAATATAAATATAATACAAAAACACAAAAATAAAACATAATCCATAAACAACAATCTCAAAAAACCTAATAGAAAATAAAACACAATGCAAAAACCAAGGCAAACATAAAAAACATAATACATAAACAGAAATATCAAAAACCTAACCCAGTAGAAAGTAACACGAGTTAAAAGTTTTTGTTGGATTTAAACATAATGTAACAACCAGATATTTTTCTATGCCCCCAACAAAATGGGGGTTAACTACTCAAAGTTGAATTGTAGTTTTGAGGGCACTTTAGAGTGCTCTATTGCTATATTGCTTTGGTCTTGGTTTGAATATGTTTTGATGTCTAATAAATGAAATAATTCTTGAACAAACACAGCATCCGTCACTTGCTGATACTTTTGAGAACTATTTGAAATGGATGAACATACTAATAATCTCCCGTTTCCTAAAGCTTTTGAAGGCCTGCTGTTGTCCTTTTTGGTATCATTTATGGCTTCGGATTTCTGGTACAAATATGACCTGGTCTGAGAGAACCTAGTTTTCCTTAGTAGTCCTTTGCAAAGGCTTGTGAAGCCTGGCCTGTATCAAAAGGCACTAATTATTGAAGTGAATTAGCATCTTGGACAGTATAAGCAAAGGACGGGAATTGAATTAAAATGGAAACAAATACTGACTTGTTTGAAGAGATCATTCTAGGTGAGTGTTATGTGAAAGGAATACATTCAGCGTGTACTTCTGGCATTCTTTGCTTATGCATAAATCATGTAACTCCTAAGAGTCTAGTTATCAGAGGCTAACTGGCACAGCATAATTTCAAGTGCCCAGGATTTTTGTAGCTGACAAATACAAACACAAGTGTACATAGTTGAGCAGACCACGCTAAGGTTTCTTAAACATGAGACCTATATCTGATTATAGTCAATATTTGGCACAGCCCATGATGTAACTAGGATTGCACAGTAGAAGCCATTGTGATGTAGTGGTGAGAGCATTAGACTTGAAGAATTTCAGTTCATGTCCTTGGATTTAACAAAGGAAAGGCAAGATACAAATTTATTTATTTACCATATTTATACTCCTCCCTTCCCACCCCAAAGGCGACTCAGAGTGGCTTATAAATTATGGCAAAAATTCAATGCCGCATCATACACACAACAATAAACATATCATATGAAGTTATAAAACATTTTATAGAATCATAGAGTTGGAAGGAACCTCATGGGTCATCCAGTCCAACCCCCTGCCAAGTAGTAGGAAAATCGCATTCAAAGCACCCCCAACAGATGGCCATCCAGCCTCTGTTTAAAAGCCTGCAAAGAAGGAGTTTCCACCACACTCTGGGGCAGAGAATTCCACTGCTGAACAGCTCTCACCGTTAGGAAGTTCTTCCTCATGTTCAGGTGGACTCTCCTTTCCTGTAGTTTGAACATATCGTTAAAACATATAAACAATTACAACATATAAATACAATAAAACGGATTAAAAACATACATAAAGCCAAGTCTTGATTTTCCATACTTCTTGATTTTCCTATAGTCATTATTCAAGCTGCTAGACTGAGGTCAAATTCCGTGTTACCCTACTCTCTGAATGCCAAATTCAACATTGGTAAAGATTTGTTGGTATCCAAGAATGATATGTACTGTAATGTGTATATAGTAATGTGAATTATTTATTTATTTATTTGCGGCATTTATATGCCGCCCTTCTCACCCCGAAGGGGACTCAGAGCAGCTTACAAGATATATATATATACATACAATATATTATATTATTAGCATAGCACAGTATTATAGATTACTATATTGTACTGTACCATTATATTGGCTTTATTATTAGTAATATTACATGTAATATAAAATATATAATTATAATATTGTATTATTATTATTATTATTAGTAGTAGTATTATATTGTATTACATTATCATATTATAAATATTAATTATAATTATCAGATTCCTTTAGGATGTGGGCAAATAAACAGGGCATAGCACCAGATAGTTACAGAGCATAGCCAGCGCTATCTGTTTCTGTTTGCTTCTGTGGATGATTCACATGTCTCTTGTTCAGCAGCATTCAGTAGTGTTGTTTTGCCTGGATGTTTTTCTTAAGGTCATTTTTGTATACTTTATTGATCTGAGATAAGCAGATAATCTGGGATCAGATCTTGGTATATAGGGCAGTGTAGAAGGAGCCTAAGTGTGCCCGGCCAGGCCATACAGTTTGTCTTGATGGAGGCATAGGATGCAAATGTGATGTTGATCTGGGACTGTTATTCTTGTCTGTTTGCCTGCTGGTGAGATTTGGAATGCAACATCTGGAGAGCCACAAATTCCCCATCTCAATTTTATGGTCTGATGATTGGGGGAGTGTTGCCCACTATTTTTCTGTCTTTCAAATATTTTGGACAATTTGATATATTGTGCAACTGTTCGCAGTACACAAAAGTGCAACCAAAATTATCCCGAGACTGTACAAAGTCCCCTATAAAGAGATGTTATGAAATTTTACTTTTGCACCTTCATCTTATAGTTTCCCAGTTTTAAAAAAAATCAAAGATGTAATGGAAACATTGGGGAGGAGAGAGATCTGCACACTATTATTACAAAAGAAAGTATAAACAAGTTTTACATCTCAAACAAGAGATAGAAGTGGGATACAGATGATGATGATGGTGATGATAATAATGATGGCTTTCATGACTGTGTGGAATTGAACTCACATCCTGGATTCCAGTCCAAGGTTCGTTTTCCAGTCCAAGCCCTGGTCTAACAATTATCTACGACCTCAAACCAGCCTCATGGCTCTGTTGCACATTTTCTGACCAAAATTGTGGTTTTTGTACTGGCTCTTTTTGGGCCAAGCCACTTTCCAGGCAACCTGTCACTTTAGACAATACTGTGCCTTGAGCAAGTTGATGGAAAAAAGCATAATGTATTATTCTTTGGTCGAAGGGGAGAGCTTGCATTTAAAAAAAAAACCTGAAACTGAAACCTGAGAGCATGAGATTTTAATGATCTCTTCCCCTTTATCCATCCTCTTTCCATTATTTTGTTTTACTGTTAACTTCAAAAGGCATAAATAGGGGAGTTTGTAGGGTGCATTAGAGCTATGGTTATCAACCTTTCCAATGCCGTGACACCTTAATACAGTTCCTCATGTTGTGATGACCCCCAACCATAAAATTATTTTTGTTGCTACTTCATAATGGTCATTTTGCTACTGTTATGTATAGCAGTATAAATATCTGATATGCCAAATGTATTTTCATTCACTTTTTTTTGGGGTGGGGGTTGATTTTGTCATTTGGGAGTTGTAGTTTCTGGGATTTATAGTTAGCCTACAAGCAAAAAACATTCTGATGGAATTGAACCAATCTTGGCACACAGAGCTCCCATGACCAACAGAAAATACTGCAAGGGTTTGATGGGCATTGACCTTGAGTTTTGGAGTTGTAGTTCACCTACATCTAGAGAGCACTGTGGTCTCAAAAAAA